AGTAATGCGGGCCAAAACTCGTTATAGTGCGGACCATGTGGCTACACGATAGTTATACCAGTTAATCAACATCACATGATTTATTTTTTAAAACTTGGCATTCCTAGTCTTAATTTATTTAGGAGAGCTGAAGAAGAGAACCATAAGAACCGTTCCCATCCCTAGTGATTAATGGTCAAAAGACATTTTAAATGATCACAATCGCCAACATTGAAAAGTGACGGTAATGAAGTTAAAAAAAAATGTATCATTTCTAAAATTACATTAAATAGAAAGTTTTTACGGAGAAAAAACTCAACGAAATTAGAAACCACACACAAACCAAAGTCACTATTAAAATTCCTTTACCCTTGTTAGAATATATTAATAGCTTTTGTGTGATAAACATAATTTATCTACAATTTGATCTTTATGCATGATGAAATAAATGATAATTATCTATATGTATTCAACTTGCAATTCTTTTATCGATTCTAAACATGTACCTACATTACAGATTATTAGAAAATTAAAAAGACATTTCGCCTAGAATATTGATTTCTAATGGTTAAGCATACAACCGAATAGGGTTATCATGATCGGTCAATGTTTCGGTCATAGAACCGATATCGGTCGCGTCATAACCAGTCATTGAAGTATCTCTACAAATTTTAAAGAGATATTAACCGACTAGGAGTATTTGTGTGCCATGAGATTTAAAATATGGACGACGATTTACACTAGAAAATTTGCAAAGACAATTAGTATGAATTTTAACTAATGTTCTTTGGAAATGTCTATTTCTATTAATAAAAATGCTTTCTAGGTACAATTTGGTTTTTCGGACGAAATAGACTTTCCACATCGCTCCGTGGTAGAAATATCCTAATTTGGAAAACCAAATAGAAACTAGTTTTTCCCGCAAAATACATATTTTAATTGGTTTAATAACAAATTTCATTTTCAGTTTAATTATTCAACCATTTTTTTTTTTTTTTTTTTTTTTTTTTTTTTTTTTTATTATTATTATTATTATTCTAATGGAATAGATTAAAAATAACGCCCAAATGTAGTACATATTTTATATGGTTACACTGATTTTCTTGCGTTAAAAACTTTAACACCATTAAGATAATTACATAAGTGATCAATGATATCGAAAAGTCTTTTTGTGTTACATCAGGTTTTGTAAAATGTTAATTACTAAATTAAGACAATAGCCGGCCGAAATTTTTTTTGCTCCGGAACGAGCTAATTAACGCGGATCATTGAAAAGATTAATTACGGAAAGTTATTATGAATTTCCTTTACGGGTAATCAATACATACATGACCTTTTTGTTTATGAATTAACATCTAATCTGTAAACAAAAAAAATCTATTCCCAATTTGTTAAATCTATCTACAATAAAATATTAAAAGTTAAAATATGATCGACGATGGCATTCGGAATCATTTTCTCTATAAGAACACTCGAAATGTGAAATATGTAAGGGAATTTTTTTTTTTTTCGCTCTCCCTCACGAAAATTAAAAGTACAAACATAAAAAGTAATAAAAAAAAAAATGAGTAAGGTCGGAACTATCATTGCTATTATAGCAGTCTCCGTTTCACTTGTAATATTGCTTTTAAGTTTTGCGAGTGTAAAAATGGACGTCGATATACCACAAGACAATAATACTCGTACCGGATATCCCGTTTGGCATCCTCCTTTTCCAGGGCATTATGGCGAAGATCAAGATGCAACAATCTTAGCCTCAGTAATATTAATGGCAGTCGGTGGATATTTTGCATATAAGTGGACATTGTTTGATACGAAAACTAACGAAGAGTTGGTAACATATTTGGTTGATAGTGCCTTTAACAAAACTACCTCCATTTACTTTGATCAAATATTAGCCGCATACTCATTAGTTACATGCATAACAGGAATTGCATACCTCGCATTTGATGTTGGTAAACTTTGGGTTACGGTTGGAGTGTTTCATAATGGTTTGGAAGTTGTTCTCTTAATTGCTTTACATCAAGGAGGAAAAATCGTTTCGAACAAATTTTTAGCTTGGATGATTCTTTACTTTGTATCCGCCTTAGGTTTTAGTATCTTTTTAGATTGGCCTTATGACACCGTTTGGTTTAAGATGCAAGGTCTTTGTCAGGATTTTGGGTTGGCGATTACATTTACGCGCATATATTTTGCCACGCGTAATGGTTATGGGGACGAAACTCATCAGCGTCTTTTTGATGTAGAAAGTCCAAGAGAACACAACGGTGTTAAAGAATATACTTTTGGTTCCGTTACACGTTTCGCTCCTAATTTCGTTCTATTGTTGGTGTTGGCTTCTTACACTCACATTTTAGGAAATGTTTATGCAACAATTTTGTATACTAGATCTTCTTCGTATCTCGTACTTTCCTTTACCTATTGTATCACTTTCCCTATCTACTGTTATTTTGTTTACTTAGATACTCATTCGGTTGCGACCCCTCCGTCTCAAAAATACATTATATTACCTGATACCAGTAAACCAAAAGTTGTCCTTATCACTTTATCTGTCTTTTTCCTTTCCTTCTTATGCACTAGATTATCTTTTTACTATCAGAGTGCCGATTAATTGGGTTGTGCATTTTTTTTTTCCTTGATCTATTATTATCATTTTTTATGTAACCAACATTATAAGACGAATAAAGAAATGTTTTTTACATGCCTTGCTGCGTGAGTTCAAACTTTTACGACTTTTTTTTCTTTGACGTGAATTGGTAAACCAATTTATTATTTTGAATGGTCAAACATTTTATGATGTTTGGAAGTTGAGGCATTACTTGATGAAATTTTTCAAAAGCATTCCATATGAAATTTATTAATTTCCATGAGAGATTTATTTTTACCTCTCTTTCAGAATTAGATTCAACCTTACATTCGCATTTTTTTTTGGATTACTTCGTGTATTTTTATGAACTCGGTTTTTTGGAATTGGTATGTAATTTTTTTTTTTTAAAAAAAAATAATTATCATACATACGTTTTATTTTAAAAAAAGTAGAATTCGATCGTTTTAGCGATTTTTAGAACAAATTTTAAATCGATATTTTTCTTCAAGCGCAAGTAATACTAATTCATTAACAAGCACTTTACGCTATTTTTTATCTTTTAAACGTATTAATCGTGCGTAATATTATAAAAAATTTTACTATAAAAATATCATTTCACATTAATTACGATATCAGCCTTTATTTTTTTTGTAATTATTCTTTTTTTTTTTTACTACATTTTTATTTCGTGTATAAAATTATTTATTTGTCCTGAGCGAACCGAAAAAACAATATAAGTCTATGCAATGTGAAAATTTTACGGTCACATGTGACAATGGCATTTTCTAGTAATTAATAATTAGGATCGCGATGATATAATTTATTTAACATTTAATCATTCCACTCAAATCAAATCTAATTTAATATACGCCCATTGGTAAATGAGATCGGTCACATGATCAGACTGCGATTTATAACGTCTTTTCAAAATTTTTTCCCACAATTTATTTTATGTATTCCTTCAATTTAACTAAGCCAAGATTATTTAGTTTTTTGCCTATTAAATGCGGCGGTTTACGACCCAACATTTTATCTAATCGAAAATTTTCTTCAAGGATGGTTTTTCAGGTTTTAAAATTTTTTTTTCTTTATTAATGAAAATTTTTTTGAAAAACGGAATTCATTTTTTTTTATTTTTTTTTTTTTTTTATTGTAGACCGAATGGTCTCGATTAATTCGGTAATGACGTTAAATCAATAATTTTGATTTTAAAATATTTTATTTAATTAATCAAATTATATGATAGTTTTGTAGGTGAAGATGATAAAGTATACTCTGGTCAACCTATTGTTGATTTGAATGGATCATTACCACCTATTTCAGAATTAAAAGCAAACATAATTCAAGGAGACGTCCTTACTGAAGAAAGAATAAATATTACAGATAAAATAATCAAAGTCAAGAAGGTGATTTCTTGTTTTTTTTTTTTAAATAAAAAATTTCTTTTATTTTGTAATTAAAAGATTTAATTAATCCCTTTTTGCACATTTTAGTTATTGACACCATTAGCACCATCAAAAATTCCGATAATTCGATGTATTGGGTTGAATTATAAAGAACATGCAAAAGAAACATCGCAACCTATACCAAAATTTCCAATATTATTTATAAAACCATCAACTAGTTTACAGAATCCTTTTGATCAAATTCAAGTACCTACTATAGCTACTAATAATCAAGTTGATTTTGAAGCCGAATTAGCTGTAATAATTGGTAAAAACTGTAAGAATGTTGATAGTGATGATGCTTTACAATATGTCTTGGGGTATACTGTAGGTAATGATGTTTCCGCTAGAAAATGGCAAGGTATTGTTAAAATATTTTTGGAAGGGTTGTTTACATTTTTTAAGTTAAAATATTTAATTTTTCTTTTTATTCTAGGAAAAAATCTTGGATCTGGTCAATGGTGTTTTTCAAAAGTAATTAAATCTTTTTCTTTTTTTTAAAAAAAAAAAAAAAAAAAAAAAAAAAAAAAATTTTAATTTAAATATTTACAAATCATTGTATTTCATTTAATAGGGATTTGATACATTTTGTCCAATTGGACCACAATTAGTTTCTCCATCAATTATAAAAAATCCAAATTCATTAAGAATAAGTACGAGACTTAATGATAACCAATTATTACAAAATTCAAATACATCTGATATGATCTTTAATGTGGCCGAATTAATTAGTTTCTTAAGTCAGGGTACGACATTGCAAGCTGGTTCTTTGATCTTAACAGGAACTCCTCAAGGTATATATATATATATTATTTTTAATTAAGGTTAAAGACATAATTAAGTTAATTAATTTCTACATTTTCTTATTATATAGGCGTTGGGTTTACTAGAAAACCTCCAATTTACCTTCAACATAATGATAAAATTGAAGTAGAAATTGATCAAATAGGAACTTTAACTAATATAATTGAATATGAAAATCAATTAAGTAATTCTAAATTATAATTGTATAAACAGTACTTTTAATTTTTAAATGTATTTCAAATGTAGCAAATATTTATTAAAATTCAATCAAATAAGCATGCTTTCAATTCTATAGATAATTACAGTTAAAAACACATAAGATGTCAAATATTTGAGTGAATTAATAATATATTGTAAAAGCCGACGTTCCGTTTTCAAAAAATCGTCGATGCGGACGCTTTATTAATATTTTTTATCTTACAATGCATAAAAAATATTGCAAGAGATCCAAAATCTGATTCAGAGAGAATCAAAAGCGTATAACTCTACTAAACCTTTACAAACGGTTAGAAATAAAAACTAATATAATTGTTTATATGTGTTTGGGCAACTTAAAGTATAATAATTTTAAAAACGTAAAGATAGAAGTAATAACGGATGCCGATATAATTTTTTATTTTTTTTCGAAATGATATCCTTTTTGGAAAGGCATCTGGCTCAAAATTATTTTGAGGGCATATCTATAAATTAACTTGTAATAAATAACATTTTAAAGTACAATTGTCTCACGGTATGTATAATCATTTTTGATACTCGTGCAAAGAGTTTAAAAGTTAAAACTCAAGTCTGCGAAAATAATACATACCTTTTTTTGAATTCAAAGGCTTGGGGATATTTCTCCTTCACCCAACGCTTTACTTCTTTCCATTGCTCAATATCATCAAAATACATGTAAAAAGTACAACTATTTTTATTGTACCACCACCAGCAGAACAAATTCAAATTCTCATAACATTCATCATCTGTTCATTACCCCAAGTTCCAATCGCATCTTATATTTTGAGTAATCTTTTTTTTCTTAGTGTTTTCACGTCCACAAGCATATATAAAACGTACATAATAAGAATCCGAATATATGATGTCTGCTTTTAATTCCGGACGACAAGGTATATTCATCCATTTAAGGTGATGAGATATTCCTATAAGGTGAACAACTTTCAGTAAAGCGATTTAATAATAATCCATGATTGTAATATCACATTACCTTGGGTCTAAAACAATATCTCAACGGTCCATTCTCTCAAAAAATCCGCCTTAATTAAGGACCATAATCGCATTCACCGACAAAAAGTACAATTATGCCGGGTCGTTTATGTTCTTGAATAGCATCACCAATAGAAGCTACAAGTTCATCTTTCTCTTTATCTAAAAAATTCTGATCGTAGACTGATACCCGAAATCCAAGTTTTTCAAGTTCTTTCCACAATGAATCGTTAGGCGGTGGACGTGATCCAACGACAGTGATGGCAAATGACCCAAATGACCTCAAATGACTCAAATGACTGGTCATGTGTCATTTGGGTCATTTCAACATTAAATGAAAATCATTTAAAAATTATTTCTGGCCAAAATAATTAATATAATTTAATGTTTCGAACGGTTTCATAAATATTCCACGTGATATAATTTGTAATTCTGGCCAGCATATAATATTGGCCTGTATTACATTTAAATGACCAAATGACAAATGACCTCAAATGACCGGGTCATTCGATGGTCATTCAGAGGTCATTTCAAAATGGCCAAATGACCCGGTCATTTGCCATCACTGTCCAACGATAACTGGATCCTCGCCCAATTTTTCGCTTTTTCAGAACCGTCCTAGGATATCGTCCGTAATCTATATAAAGCTGATCTTCAAAGACATCCTTAATCTCATTAACCATTTTCTTTCCCTCAATTGCGACGTTGTAATTGTCAATAAAAATATGCACTAGGCCGGTGGGTTCCATTGAATCTCCTATAAGGAAAGATATTCGCTATATCAGATATTAAAAAATTTTAATAGATGTTCACTTGCGTTGACCAATCAATTACGACTCACTTACCAGTGATAATAGAGTAACGTTTGTCTTTTTGGGGTGGTTTTAAGCAGGTTAAAAGCACAGGGTTAGGTAAATGTTCGGTATTATATGATTATATGACAGAGAAGACGTGAAGAATTATGTTTTATCACGTTGACTAAATTTGGTGTGACTTACCATCGACAATAACTCTAACATTGCATCTTTCTATGTAAGGAAAAGTTACTTCAACTGTATCACCTGTTTTTACTAAATTGTCGTTTAAGAAATCATCAATAGAAATATTGTTGTCTATAATAGCAACATCAACCCTTCATAGTGTGAGGTCATCAGCATCAGTCCTAACAAAGTAATTAGGCTTTCTTTCTTTGATAGCAAACTTGAGATCGAAAATATTTTTATTTGTTCCAATAGTGACAGGGAAAGTAGAAAGAGTTTTACGAACAGAACACCAAAGATTGATAAGAGACATTTCGTATTAAAATGGATAAAGAAACAGTTTTTTTTATTCGTATTGTTGGATTAGTATTACTATATATAAAAAATCATGGTAGCACAGATTGATTAATTGATCAGGGTCACGTTACTGTATCAAACTTTTTTTTTTGAATAATCTTTAAACTTAGCCAGTTACTTTCACTTTGTAAAAATCCAAACACATCACACCTTCAACAAGTTGAAATTAAAGCAGGAAGACTTTTAGTTGATTTCTGGATAAGTAAATGCAGCCGCAAAAATGTTAAAGTAAAGTGAGACCTCCTTTTTCACGCCGTTTAATCTTGAACCTCTCACAATTATCATGTTCACAGCATGGAAATCGCCTCAGATTGGGCACCAGGATATCTAGGTAAGCGTAATATAGAATTCCAGATCATCTTCTACGGTATGCTCGTACTGAAACCGTGAGAATTCATCATAAGTTCCTTGACGTTGAACTCTTCCATACCATCGATGTAATTATGTGAAGCAAATTCTATTGTCATACGATTTGATACGGGGTACTTTTCCTTATTAATTGTATTTAAATTGCATTACTCCAATCGATCAAATACAGTGTCTGTTGTGAATAACGGATTAATGTCTCGATGATAAATAACAAGAGTGCGTAAATTCTAGCGTCTTTCTTGATCAAATAAGCCGTTGCAAAGTCTGTTTCCGATAATTAAGTTACTAATGTACTCAACAATGACGGCTGGTAAATGGAATACTTTGGGCAAATGGACTTGTTCTGGTTATTCAGCGTTTTAATAATATCCATCCAAGTCGTCTTCCAATCGCAGATGCATCTCTCCGATCTTGATAATTGTCTGAAAGTGTGCCAGAAATGATAAAAGGATCTGCCGTATCTATAAATCCTTCCTTTTATTTATCCTCTTTTTCTATGTATTCAATTTCAATATTAAGGGGTGAGGGACTTCTATTAAGGATTGCGATATGGGAGGTTTGCTAAGAAAATCAGGCTCTGGGATTTTATTGACTAAAATTAAGACTTTATTACATTTAATCTAATAACATCAAAAACTAAAATGCAATAAAAATCAAAATTTTGTTAAAATTCCCAGAGCCTGATTTTCGTAGCAAACTTCCCATATGTGCTCATTACTTTGCAACGCAAAAAATTTGCGTTTATTCAAAGTCCGAGGTAACAATAAAGCTTTTTCTCATTTTCATGGCACGTTCATTGATTTGACCTAGGGCTTCTTTGTAGTGATCATTAGTTATCGCTTTTATTTCGAAGATAGTAACAATTTAGGCCCTGCATAGACTCGTATCTTTGAGGAAATAGCATATTTGGGTTTTTATCTCAGATACGAGAATTATAAGTATTGAACGTCTTTCATTCGCCATCGCATTGGAGAAATATTTTGTCTTTTTGCTGTTATTGAAATTCGCTCATGTTCGAGGTTCCGAAAGTACTTCTCCTTGATCGTATGGTCCAGCAACATATTTTTTTTGTTGTGTTGAGCAAATGTCTTCGCCAATCATAGCATATGTACTCTGACCCAACTCAATTGTGCGTTCTTTCTAAACAACGTATCAATTACCAGAGATTGCTTTCAGATTTTTCATTCAATTTCTTTTTTTCGTACTGGAACGAATTCATTATCGACTGTTCGCAGTTGGTCGACAATGTATCATATAACAAATGAATAACGAAATATTATTTCATGCAATCAGTTCATTGCCTTTTTCTCAATAAATTTCACTTCCCCAAAAGTCTTGGATATATGGAATATTATGATCCTTTCGTACTTGTCTCGTGACTATGCGTTGGATTTTTTAAAATTTTTTTAAAATTAAATTTTTTTAATTGATTTAAATTAAATTAAAGAAATTACTCAGATCTATTAGAAATAATTTTTAGAATTTTGGTGATGATGCAATACGAATTTCATATAATTGAGCGAGCGTCTTATGCGTTTTGCGAATGCCTCAAACACCTGATTCAATATTTCAACTTTTACGGTTTTCTAATAAAACCACAAAGCTAGTAAAGAAGCATAACGTCATAAGTTTATGATCATTATTTTGATATTTTCGTAAAATCAGGCATAATCGTTTATATCGATTAAAATAATAATATTTTTTCAAAAAATTTACTTAACTTTTTTACTTAGCATTTATACTTATTTGATGAGAAAATACAATATTCAAAAAAAAAAAAAAAAATAGCGTGGCTAACGATTGCTCTAAAAATTAGGATACACGACAACTTACCTGGATCGTTGTAGATTATTTGAATGCAAGAAAACAATAAATTGTGATCATAAGTTTTCACATTAGAGGTATACAAGATAATTGCCGACTTTCTCGAAGAAATGTCATATCCTTAAATACTCGTTTGAAATATCTAAAAACGGGAAATGAGCAATAAAACCAACATGTTTTGCGGAATGATTGATTGATGATATTTGATGCAAAGGTAAGTTAGAAATTTATTAGTTGTCGTTTAATGACTTAACTTATTTTTTTATTTACCGAGTGATCTTGGAATTGCAAATATCACCACATCACGAAAATCTGGACCAACGCTTACCCCCGGTACCCCGGTAGCAAACTTGACACTTGAGTCGGTACCTGCGGGAAAGTTCGAACTATTCAATCAGTAGATACTATGGTCTCATAACCACGCGAATTCTTCATCATAAAGCAGCAATTAGAGTAGGGATTGGAATCGATTCTACCAAAATCGAATTAATCTAAATCGAATAAAAAATCGCATCTATTTTTTAGTGGCGCAATATTCACGACTACAATGAAACTAGGGAGGTCTTCTATCACAGCATTGATTTATTATATTATTTCTTAAGAAAAGTGATAAAGGAATGATCAAGAGGAAAGAAAAAAAAAATTACAAAAAAAGTGAAGAAAGCTGTAAAATAAAAAGTTATAATTAAAACATTTTATGTTAAAATCAAAAAAATTCATAAAAAGCAAAAAAAATTGATCGATGCACGAAGCGTTTGAGCACTTCCCAAAAAAAATAACAACGAACTAAGAATACACATGCAAGAGTACTCCGAAACGATTAATCACAAAGGTAGTAGCAAAAGAAAAAGATTAAAATACAAAAAAAAAAAAAAAAAAAATAAATGCTAAAATTGCTACACCAATAAACCTTAATGTATAAAATTATCTGCTTTTTT